TGAGCACAGATTTTTCGTACTGAAAGGTATGGTGAAAGGTTCGATGTCGTATATTGCTCGGAAGAAATTTAGTGATGCTATTACCAATCAAAGCATGAATCTCGTTCTATTATAATTTAGCATTGATGATGATGTTTTTTGTTAAAAAAGCTTTTAAAAGAAAAATTGTTTAAAAATTCAGTTTAAGAACAGGGCAAAAATTTTTTAAACATAAATTAATTCAGAATCCAAGTTAGAAATAATAACGTGCTTCTTAAGCGAGTGAATTATAAGTATGTGCAACTAAACTTTTATTTATATGCAGAGTAATAAAAAAAATAATAACAATGCCAAATTCTTTCTGCACATGTTGCTATGCATAGCCAGTAGCATTGTTAATGCAATGCTTGTTAGATCGTTTTACTTTGATCTAAGTGCATAGATAGTTGATTAGGGATTTTTTTAAACGACGGTCGTAATTTATTTTATATCAGACATATATTTTGACGCCAACAATCTTAAGTTTAAAGATAAGTGACTTTGATCATCTCGATTTTTCTAACCCAAAAAAAGATGATGCAATGTATCAGGATGTTTATTTCTGTTTTCGAAGAAAAAAAATTGGTAGGAAAATTGCGCTTAGATCTACTAATACTTTAAAAGATTACTATAACAAATATCTTACTTGAATAGAATAGCTAGCTACATTGGGGGCTTGCATGTTTTTCCTAAAAACGTAATCTGTCAAATTAGTTGACGCGCGCTAAAAAAGCGAATTCGATTATATAAACGCGGCACAGTTCGCTAACTAGTAGTAAATTCTTACTCTTTTTGGATTAAGCGTCATCCTTTGCTACAAAGCTTTTACCTGGTAAATCGCCGGTATGTTTAATCTGGATCCTTACAAAGTTAAGAATCATAGCTGTCGGAAAAATCCGTAATTTTGACCGGCAAAAATCCAGAATCTCGTTAGTTAAAGTACCGGCGATTTGCTCGATAAAAAATCAGATTTTGATAGGTCACGAATACGTATCCGCCATGAACAAGTGGGAATAATAAAAATTTTTCAAAGAGCAGCCTATTCGCGATAACTGGTTTGAATGATCTGTATTAATAACATTATGGTAAAAAGGTTGCATTTGAATTCATTCCAAACAATAAAAAAGAAATTTCCGTTTCTTTTTATTTCGAATCGAAATATTAATAGATTAATTAATTTTTGTTTATTTAATATATTCAATTAATTGTTTGGTTTACAGACAATATCAGTGGACGCTGGTTCTATTAGATTATATTTTGGTCTTAAAAATATTGGTTATCTTAAGGTTAAAGAAAATTATCACATATTGTCTTACAATATCAGTTTGAGTAACGAGGAAATATTCGGTGTTATCCATTTGTTACGCGACAACAAAGAAAGTGATATTTATTCATTGAAGTAAATAGCAAATTACTATTTGGGATTTATTAGACTTGGCAAGGAAAAAAATTTATCAATCTTTAATCAAATATTCACTTTTTAGAATTATTGATGCAGATTCTAATGGCATTCATGTTCGTCGTCGGAGATTCCAAAAAAAAAAATCGAAGACTTGGGACCAAGCCACAATCCATTATCAAGTGTTTCTCTTTTAGTATTTGGTTGCACAATTAAATAGCGATGGAAATATATTCATTTATGTTAGAGTACAAAGATCTTCCTGACTTCAACGAAATTGTGGAACAAACCATAAAATCACATAATTTTCTCGATCTAAATGCAGTCGTTTCACCACATTAATCTAATTTTTGCACCCCTTATCGTTGTCATCTTTTTATTGTTTGTAGTTGCCTTGTATTACCTTGTGTATTTCATTCTAGGTACTAATGCATAATGACATGATGTGAGAAACCAAAGAGCTCGGTAATACAATATCGAGAGCTTTGTGACAGTTCGTTTAAAACTCTCCGAATCACCCAAATTATCGAAAAATGTAGTTTCCAATCCCAAAGCTAATGCTTTAACTGTTTTTAATTTTAGATTTGGTAAGCCGACTTTTAAAATTATCAAACCGATCACACGTGATTAATATGACAGGATGTTTTTGATTTCTCCTGCCTTATTAAGGATTTATTTCATAAATTCTTATTTTTAGACTTTTATGTTAAGTGTTTGGTAAACTTTATTAGACGTCTAACAAGCCGGAACCAAATTTAGCATTTTCGTTTTCTATTTTCGAAAGTTTTGATTAATTAATTACATTTGTTTTGAAAATTCACGTAAACATCGATAGAGCCAAGTATAGCATCAATATATTATTATTATTAATATTGAGTTCGGCATGTTGCACATGAGAAGTTCTTCGCTTTTTCTTTGTTCAACCTTGATGTGCAACATAGACAATAATTTCCGACATTAGTAGTTAATTAGTACAAAATTTACGGGTCTCCATATGATTGCTTGATGATGGCAGCATACTACGTGCCACATGAATAAACATCTTCATCATATCATAACTAAACTCTAAAAATCTTCAAAGAATAAAAAATACCTGTTTATAGAGCAACGACAATAATCATATATGTACGTATACGCCCAAAACGAAATTATTTACACCAATAATCAAAATAATTGAGAGTTGATGCTCAAATGGCTCTTGCTGATTGGCCAAGATTATCTTTAGTTCTGTTGATTCCAAAGCAACCAATTAAGCAAGCGAGGCGTCATTTTTGGAAGGTCTTTTGGATGACGCCAATTTTCGTTTAAACAAGTTTTTTTAATTTCTTGTGCGTATGTTTGTATGCATGTCGAATTTTTGATTTCGAGATACATACATAAGAGTATTATCTTTTTAGCAAGTATGATTTTGCGGAACATATTGATCAATGATGCGTTTTTATTCACATTAACATTGTTTCATGCATTTAATACAGATTCAACAATAATTTTTGCTTACGTATAGTTAAAAGGATGCAACCAAACCTTGGTAAATTTCTATTTTGGACGAAGTTTATGTTTCTGCATCACATTGTATAGTTCATTGTTATGCGATTTGTCAGGCATGTTGGACGTAATCACATAACCTTTTTCTTGTAACATGAGACAAAATTGTGTCCTTTACATGTAATACCGTTAATTTAATTTGGAATGACATTAAATTCTGTGCCCGAGGTGCCATGCGATTTTTTGTTATTGTTTGTCGTACACCTTAAACTGAGGGAGAAGGAAAAGGAAAAGGAAAAGGAATAAGAATGGGAACATGAAGATTTAGGAGGAAATTTGCGGAGGATTTGTTTTGTTGAATTGAACGACAATAATAATCATTACAATTACGGTATTGATGTCGTCCAACCGGTGACAAAAATATTATTCCTCTTATTAAAATTGTAACGTTAAAAATGAAACAAATAATTCATTTCTCAAATTTTTAAATGTTAAAAATCATGGAATTATTAATACAGTAAATAAAGTGATGTGATGCAACGATCGGAACATTTGAAGGTGTGCACGAGCCAGAAATTTTTTCGGTGCGAAAATAATCGAGTGATTAAGTAAACACAATCAGGATTTCGTTTTTGGGTTTTAAACAAGGTTTTTTGTCATGAAACAAACGAAGATCAATTTACCCTTTAAAAAATTCTCGTTGCGGCAAAGCAAATCGTGAAAAAATTTATTTAGTTCAAGAGAATGTGTAGGAGGCTTGTGGTATTTTCTTTACGGCATTTGGATTATCTAACGCCACCATCAAACCGTTTAACGTTAATGTATAGATAAATATTATAATAAGTTTCCATTCCTATTTTGACAATATGCATCGGCTTAATGTGAGTAAAGTAAATATGAACTCATGTGGTCTAATGAAATGCCCTTGGTGCACTTACCACATGTTCAAGAACAATTGTTCGAAGAGAAAAATAAATATTTACCAATCTTAAAAATTTTGAATATGAAAAAAAACCCAAATCGATCAATTTATTGATTGATTTGCTAATCATGTCATAAATGCTCGCGCGCAAAAATTACAACTTTATAGATAACATTTTTGTTTGTCGCGGATCCTAAATATTTATTTTAACTGCCTAGACTATGGCGTCTACCCTTGCTTGGATCCACATCGAATATTCCATACCAAAATATTTGTCTCGGAAAAGATGATTCCGTGGGTACTCGAGTTAATTTAGTTTGATGGGAACTTGATTCTCTTTCTTGACTATGCTAAAGCGATAATTATCATGAGAACCTGAAGATCCTTGCCCAATTAGTATTATTATGAAATAAATGCGTCTTGTTTCCGCCACACTTCTTTTGTGACTTTTACCGACAAAAAATCCGCACATAGTCCAACTGTTTGATCGATTAAACCGGCCAGTAGGAAATTTTTGCTTCTCGGATTCTCGGATAGAACAGGGATGGCAAGTAACCGACAATAAAAAAAAAAAAAAAAAAATAAAACTGCATATATTGTATAGTCTAATCAGTTACATCTATCTTATTACGTACTGTGTTTTGTTCCATACATAAAAATACGTGTAACCAAACCGCTTTGTTGTATAATTATTTATTTTGTCTATTTTAAATGTCAATAAATTATTATCGTTATTATAAACTACGACCCCAAAATAAAAAATATTAGTGCGCTCAACGCTACTCTTTTTTTCTCCTCTGCCTGCAGCAAACCTCAACACCAATAATTGTCCAGTAGCAGTTGTATCCGTTAAAAAAATAAATTGCCACAAACCATACATTTTTCTCTGCAATGCTTTCTACCCACAATACAACTAGCTCAACAATGGACTCATATGAGACTTCCGAAATGAACCTACAATTGAGCGTTTTCCCGGAACAAATGTTTGAGTGGGATGCTCAACAACAACAACAACACCACCACCACCACCACCACCAACACCACCACCAACAACAACAGCAATCTATTAACATTCATGGAGGACATGGAGGTTCGTCAGCGGATCTTTGTTCCTCACAGCAGCAACAACAGCAGCAGCAGCAGCAGCAACAACAACAGCAAGACTTCACTCACGCAATGGAGGTGTCTCCTACCTTTCATATGCTCCCTACACCTGAAGGCTCGGATAATAGTGGTGGTGCTGACCTTATTCTGTCTCCTTACACACTGGCTAATCCGGGTGTATTTGCAGAGGACGTTTTTACGGAAGAAGAGGTATGTTTTATTTCTTTTTCTGTTGCATAACGTTTTTGAATACGAAAATGATTAACGGTACAATATTTTATCATTACATCATGAACGTAAAGTATTTCTTTCAACTAGAACCTACCATGTTGCCCGGAACGTCCACATATTCCCATTCATACATGATATCACCACAATCATCGCCCACTTTACCTCCAGACATGAACATTAACAACACGACAACAAATTCATTTAGCCGACCCACCAATAATTTATCAAGATCAAAATCTATGATATACTCGACCCGTAACAACAACAATAATAGTAATAGTCATCAGCATCAGCATCGATACACACCACTAATGAAACAAAAATCGATGTGCACGAATTCTACAATATCCGCGTCTGGGACAACTTTGCGACGAAAGAAACCTTTATCTTTACCGTTAACACATCAACAGCAGCAACATTTACAGCAGCATCCGGAATTGGACCCGTTAAATCCAGCGACCGTGTCAACTATGATGGCTGTTACGCCGCAACAACAACAGCAACAAAATCATCATCATCAAAATGCTGCTACTAATGCGATGATTTCCCTGTCGATGCAAATGTCCCCCACGAAATCTTCAATATCGCCAATGATCAATGGTTACAACAATAATAACAATGAGCTTCAAAATATTAGTAGTAATAATAATAATAATAATAATAATAATAATAATAATACAAGTTCGACATGTTCAATGATCACCACACAAGACTCTATGCCAAGTCTAAATCTAGGCGATAATCTTGTTTCTACCATATCCGGTGATAATGTTTCTCCTAATCAATTTTCATCAAACGTATCATCATCTCAAAATACTATCTCTTGTGATATCCCATCTCATCAACATCATCTTCAACAGCATCAATTCAATAATAACACTAATAGTAATAACAATAATACTACTGCTATGATCAGTAATAACAATAACGTCATTATCAATAATAACAATAATCTCCAGAATCAACAGCAGCAACAACTGCAGCTACAACTTCAACAACAGCAACAACAATCCTCACAGAGTATGATTTCTCCAATAACTCCTGCCATGCTAATTATGAAGAAATCAAAGAATTCGAGCTCCCAGAATAGTAAAAATAGAAAAGATCAACAAAAGTTTACGGATAAATCATTAAATAAGCAAATATTCATTTCTCCGACATTATCCCCTTCACCTAATAATCAGCAACAGAAACCAACAGCTCTTGTTATGACCCCTGCTGTTACAAGTTCACAACCATTACTTATATTTCCTAATGGAACTATTGTGTCACCTGTAATGACACCAACGATTGGAAATGGTAATAGTGGCGGATCTTCTGCTGCTTCATCCAATAACAATTCATCCGGAAATAATAGTAGTGGAAGAAAGACTACTCGGCAAAATCCCAATTCTTCGTCTCCACTGGCCCTTGGACCTACCGCAACTCAAACTAGAAGTCCACAAGCCTTGAAACCCACGATAAGTCCTAATCTTAAGCCGAAATTACCCGGTGCACTTGCTGATGAAGTTGCCGAGCAATTAGCACAAAAATCAAATTATCAAAATATTCTGGAAGGAACTGCACAGTAAGCATTGCTTTTATCTTCATTCGTTGTGTTCGATTGATCATTATTTATAATCATCTTCTAAATTTTATGATCTAGATCGCTTGGTATCTCGTACTCTTCAGATCTACAATCTAGTCTAGAATCGCGTCGTACTACACATAAAGCGGCCGAACAAAAGCGTAGAGACTCACTGAAGCAAAGCTTCGACGAGTTGAAGAAGGTCGTGCCGTTTAAATCAATGCTGAGTAAAAGTGTCACTGCAAACAGTAATAATGATTCCAGTGGTAATAGTAGCAGTGGTGGAGGCAAAAATGGAGATGGCACAATGAAGAATGTCAGTAAACTCTTTCTGTTGAAGAGAGGTAAATAGATGATTTTGTCTGATAATCCATTTATGTAAACCCTCTCCCTTCATTGCTAATCTTTTTATTGTATTATTTTGATGTTCAGCTCATGATCATATCGTTGAACTCCAAGTGCAAAATAAGGAGAAGGATGATCTTATTGCAAAACTTATGAAAGAACTCGAGACTTTCAAAGGAGAATCTGATAACGACAATAACAATAAAAGCAACAACCACAACAATAATAATAATAACAATGACAATAATAACAATGACAATAATAATAACAGCGATCAAACAGACGAAACAATGGACGGGTTGATAGAGGGTGATGGAGGATCGGAGTTCATGTTTGACAATGATACTGAAGATGCAAAAATAGTGGATTGTGAAAATCAAGAATAAGAATAATTAATAAGAATAAGAATGATAATAATAATAATAATAATAACAATATAATATAAAATTCTATGAACATTACGGTTATTATTACTGCTATCACTACGATCGTCGGTTATTTCGTGTTGTTTTTTGCTGTTAATAATTTTTGTTGTTGTGACGATGATTAAGTAAATTAATTTCGCTGACTCTGCGATTCTTCTACCTATCGCTCGCATCATACCGTTCATCACATTCCAAACGGGAGAAGTTTTTATATTTCTGCCATTACATCACGACGCGAAACATCATCCATTTATCATACCGAGAAAAAAATTTATTAGATTACTACCCTTTTTTTTACAGAATTTATTAACTGTTATTATTATCAATTATTATATTTTAACTCATTAAAAGCACATACGTATGTAATATTTCACATTTTGTTTTTTCCAAATATATAACTTTAATATTCACCTCATCACTACTCATCAGACGGATTGATTGTATATATAAATATATATCCTCGTTTTCAACATATCCTTTTTTTGGATTATTTATATTTTTCCGTATCCTTTTTTTTTGTATTATACTACAGCACATTTCACAATCATATATTATATATAATTCAATGAAATACTTTCAATTGATCATTTTTTTTTCGGTGGCATTTTAAACATCCACTAATGTATATTGATAGAAGGAAAATAAAGCAGCAAATCGCATAGGAAACATGTCTTTCTAGGCAGGTTTGGTTGTGCATGCATGAAATGAGGAATACTAGAGTTGTGATTGACATACTGCGTCTGCGACAAAACCTGATTTATCAAAGTGGTGATCCGCAAGAGATCGACGCGGATAATGCATGAATTAAATAAAATTGCGCTCCAAAACGAGAAAAGGTTTCATCTTACTGAAAAGTGATTCGAAATGGTTTTCTAAGTGTTTAGGAAAGCATTTTAACATGAATATCTTATTTCTAGTAAATGCAAAAGGACGTTTTCTCATCTATTTATGTATTCATCTTGATCTTATTGCTGGTTACTTTGAATTCTCATTGAAAAAATTTCAAAGACACAATGTTTTATTTGATAATTTCTCTTTCAAATACTCAAAATTTGAAAGTTTGATAGTAATATGATCCAGTGCAATTATTTCTAATAAAAATCATAAGCATCACTTGACTGCCATTTTTTAGTTCTTAAAATAGGAGGTGATTCTTATTTTTAGATAAATAATTTTTATTATAGTGCCGGAACTTTATACTCAATAATAAAAATAGATATCTTTAAAATCTATCAGCACTTTATAAAGACAAAATTAAAAAAAAACTAAACCAGTAATATTGTTTATTAGATAAGCTCTATTAAATTACTGATCAGAATTTTAAAAAAACTTCTATAAAAAAAGTTATAATTATTTAAAATTAAATATATTTTATATGGTTTGCCCAAAATTGAAATAATTCACATAATTATTTTTATCATGTGAAATTAATTTTATTAAATATAATTTGGACCAGATATGTGCTGGCCTAAATTAAGATATTTATTTAATTATATGTATGCTGATTGATTATTCTCTATTTAATTGATATATTAATAATGTCATTATATACAAAAAGATAACAGCAAATAAGTAAATTATCTAGAAAAAAAGACTGTTTTATATTTTAGAAAGAATAAAAAACTGTCATTATCATTAATATACAAGAAATCTTTGATAAATAAAAAGAAGCTGGCAAATGAAGAGAAGTTACTAATATATAAGAAACTCTTAAAGAATAGAGAAAAGAAGAGTTACAAGAATTTGAAGAGATGAGAAAAAGATTTATTCATGAAATTTTCTATTAGTATAAGAGAACTAGAAGTAATTTTAAAATAATATATACTGAAAATTCAAGAATAATAAACTAGAAATAGAAAAAAGAAAAAAGAGAGTGAGAAGAATATATAAAAGAAATAAGAAAGCTCAATATATTTTTTAAATAAAAGCAAACTATTATCTTCCTGTCATTACTTAAATCTCATTATTACCTATTGATGTTATATTATTACCTGTTGATACTATAATAAACTTATAAAAAATAATTAGAAGAAATTAATCAGTGATATTTTATAATAAAATCTTGTAAAAGAAATAGTTAAATTTTTATATATGACTATTTATACTTTCTAAGTATACAAAAATATATATAGTTATTATTAGAGAAGAATGATAAAATGAATACTAGTAATTAAATTATATAAATTATATGAAATAAGAATAATTATATAATGAGATATATTTAAAAATAAGATAATTATTTTATAAAAATAGAAGAACTTCTTATTTATTACTAAGAGATATATACAAAATTAAAAAGTTTACTTAATGATAAGAATTTTATATAAGACTTTCAAGTATAATTATAGTAATAAATATTAAAGTTACAATCATCTGAAATATTAAAAGCATATATTAAGAAAATATTATTTTTAAAAATAATGAGATATATCAGAAAAGACAAGATCTTTGAGAAAATATATCAAAATTATAGTATCTTTAAAAATATAAATATAATAAAAGAAGAAAAGTTATTTACTATAATAAATATAAGTAATTAGATATAGTATTATATAGAAAAAAATGATTAAAGAGAATATTTAAATATAAGAAGTATATAAAGAATTTGATAATAATATATTAAATATTATATTAAAATCATATCTTAAATTAAAAGAAAAGAAATTTATACAGTGTGGGACAGCATAAGATATCTACTTTTAATTGACTTATAAAAAATCTTATAACTTTTGAGCAAATAATTAAAATAAAAAATCCTCTTACAAATTGATAGATCTTTAGTAAAGCTATAATTCTGTAAGAGCATTTTTTATTTTAATTTTTTTTTAAGAAGTTATAACACATCAAACTTTTTAATTTTTATAATAAAGTTAGAAAATTGGCACAGAGATACATCAACTTTGCACGTGCTTTTATCACGTGTTTGCGATTTTATTGGTCAGAATTAATTATATTAATTATAATTTAGGCTGGCATTGTTATAACGCCAATTTGGGCTGTATGCAATAATAATGCATACTTTTCAAAGCATTCGGTAATACTGCATGCTATGAAAAGTATGCATTGTTTTATTATGCTGTGGGGGGTTGTTCTATTAGATTGAGGCAGTTGTTTTATTGTTGAGAGGTTTGTTTTATTATTTTAAGGGCGTCATTCTCTTATTATACCAAGGCTTTCAAAGCTTAAAAGGTACCAACGGGAAAGAGCATTTGTAGCTCACTCAGCCCGGCTAGCATATATGAAATTCTCTCTTGTTCTTGGTTCCTCCCATAATTCTCTTTCTTCTGTTGACCCGTCTACAGCTTACTCACATCCCAAGAATCTAGTTAACCCGTCTACGGCTTACTCACATCCCGAGAATCTAGTTGACCCGTCTACGGCTTACTTACATCCCGAGAATCTAGTTGACCCATCTATGACTTACTCTCATCCCGAGAATCTAGTTGACCTTGATTCGAGCGAAGAATACTCGCATATTGTCGCTTCTTCAAATGTTTTCTCTCCTGAGATCTTGGCTCAAGTGAGGAATACGAAAATATCAGTTCTGAAGACGACGACCTCGAAGACGATCTCCAAGAGGATGACAACGAGTTAGATAATATCGAGACAAATGGGAATTCTATAATTAATCGGCTTTTTGCAGCAGCAGCAGCGAGCTTTGAAAAAAAAGGGCATCCAACTATTTATACTGGTGATTCGAAATGGACACAGCAAAGGAAAAATAAAAAATTAAGGGAAGCGGCAGCAGGAAGTTCAAAAATTTCGCAATTCTTTCATACTACTAGCGAAGATGTCGGAAGTGGTAACAGTACTGAATCAGAGTTGACCGAAGATGAAAATATATGCAAGATGATTAAATTTGTAAACGGAGTAATGCTTGATAAAATACTTTCTAAAACTCAAATTGCTCGTTATATGGCAGTTCTTTATTTTTTCCGATTGCAGCTTAACAACAAAAAGAAAATTGAGGCAGCGAAAATGGTTTCAGAGGTAGTCAATGGTGAGCCATGGCTTGCGAAATGTGTAAGAAAGTGGGCAAATATCTGCATGAAAGAGGAATTAATCCAGCCGACCGCTCGAGAAAGGTTTCCCTCCAAAAGCCTACTTCATGATGAGCTGGTTTCTCTCCAATTAGCTACTTATCTACGCGTTCAGAAGTTCAAGGTAGATCTAATAATGGTCAAGAAATATTTCGAGCAGCACATCCTTCCCCAGTTGAATGTTGAATCTGTCCAACATATCTCGATCTGAACCGCTCATCGATAGATGCATAAACTTGGTTTTCGGTATAAACGTCTTCAAAAAGGTGTCTACGTAGATGGACATGAACAGTCCGATGTCATTATCTATCATCAAATTTTTCTTCAAGAGGTTGCTGAACTCGATCAACTTATGTCCAAGTGGCTTGATGAAGATTGCAAGATAAGAACTTTCCCACATTTGAATGATAATGAGAAAGAGCACGTATGGGTAACTCATGATGAATCAACCTTCCATACTTATGATGGACCACATGCTGTGTGAGGTCCTGAAGGAGAACAGCCATTACGAAAAAAAGGATTGGGTCTTGGTGTGCATGTGA